GTTGCCGGTCCCCGGTCCGGTACGGGGGCAACACTGAGGGTTGCGATCCGTTGCCGGACACGGAAAAAGACAAAAAGACAAAATAAATAAATAAATAAATAAAATAAAAATAAAAATTGAAAGAATAGTCATATATCTTTTTTTTCTTTTTTTGATGACAAAATTTAGATCTGCCAGTTTTGTTCCAGGAAAAGTTGACTTCATTCAAAAGAAAATATAAAATCATAGAAACCTTAATTGATAAAATTTGTAAAATTTGATATGAAAAACACTATGAATGGGAGAGTATATATATGAAATTCTTAATAAAATTTCAGGAATCTGTCACTTCTGAGAAACATAAGGGGATATGTATTTTAGTCTCTGAGGCTCTCCTAAAAATCATAAAAACTGACTGCTCTTCATAAGATGTCAATAAGATGTTGAAAGGCAATTCAGCATGTTGCTCACATCATGCCCCAGGTACCTGGGAGCTGTCTAATTTTATAAAGAAGAGAGGGCTCTGTTGTATTTGGTATCTTGGAGAGTGTGTAACCACATTTTTTATCACCTTCTTCTTAAGGGGTATTTTTTTGGGTTGTTTTTCTTTATTGAGTGTGTTTAGCCAAATTCTGGCTTTTTATGCACATTCTACTACTCACAAATGTATAATCAATAGGCTATATTTCTAAAAGATAGTTCAACAAAAATTACTGTTTTAATAACAATAAATGCATATAAACACATTTCATCTTCTTGCTATTTTATCTAGCTTTTTACAAAAATATATCTACAGGCAAAAATATATACAACTTTTACAAAACAAACTCATTTAATATTTTGTTAGATTGGTATGCGTGATTACTTAGAATAAAAGGTTAGAGTGATATAAACATTGTGAATGAATTTACAATCATTTATACTTGTTGGAACACTAAGTGACATATAGCATGAACAGTGAGCAAAACTGAATCAAGCATTATATGCAGTGGTATTTAGTTTAATGTTTAACTTGTATAATCACTTCTACTGATACAGTATTAAACCACTTCAGTTTTAACAACAGTTATTCAAATTACTTAATTTCTTTTTAACAAGAAATGTTTCCTTCACTTACTCGTACAGGCTTTCAGTTGTTATACATCATCAAGATCATAAAGGTAACACAGCTTGTTGCAGTAAGATATGTCAACAAAATAATTATCCAACAGTCTGCATATGGCTACATAATTTAATTGCAGCTGTATAAGATTTTTTAGTTGTAACAATGGAAAGTCCAGTTTCTTACCTGGACCATCACAGAGGCATAACAGCTACATTTCTTTAATCTTCAAAGCTACTTTCCTGCAGAATGTTTTAAATCTCTAAAATAAATTTTAGAAAGCTAAGTAAATTGGTGACATTGGAAGGATATTGAAAATTCATACGAACACATTATAAAACTACACTAAAAGAGTACAATCTATTTTAAAGCAGTATCAGATATTTACTTTCTGTGTTCTTAGAACAGCAATATGACTTCAGTAAAAAGTTTCTGAAAGATACGAGGGTATTTCCAAAAGTTCATGGAAAGATTAGTATTAGTTTTTAATTATATATATCTATGAACTTTTGGAAGCACCTTTGTATATGCAATATATGTGAAAATGACAGAAGTCAATAAGCATATGGCACACACAGCTAAAAACAATGTTGTACAAACACAAGTATATTTATAAATTTTTATATATAGATCTTCATAAGTATTCATGGAAAAATCAGCATTTACACAATTTTAACTAAAAAATCAACATTCACTTTCAAATGTATGTGTTTTATACAAAAGGATATACATTGTAGGACATAATTTCATATTTTATGTATTTCACATAATCAAAATGCATAAAACAAAACAGAAATATTCAGAAAAGTATACTTTGGCTCCATAGCATAGGTTTTGCATAAATGTCAGTTTGTTATTACCGTAGTAAAATAGAAACAAATAAATAAAAAAAAATAGGAAAAGCTATAAGCTCAATGTATCCTGCTCATTATCTGTTTTATAAAAAGAATCTTCAAAAAACAATAGCTCTAATAAAACTGTTATAATTTTTTTTTGTATTTTGCCCTGTATTTTGCCAATTAGAAGTTAAGATGGGGTGATGGATGAATATGCTTTACTGCATTAGGCATCAACAAGATGATGAATTCTGTATGTTGAATTTCAAGCTTTTCAAAATTTCAATACAAAATATATTCTACTTCTAAGTCATGTGTATAAAATGTTAAAAGTAAATGCACCCATTATGTTGATTGTCACTTATTTTGCAAAAGCATCATTACAGAGACTCATTTTACATACAAATTGAAATGCTACAAACCATTGAACTGTACAAATAGAACCAGTGTGGTTAATTAACAAATGTGTTTTGTAGCTACAAAATCACTGTTTCACATTAAATTACATAAGATGAGAAGATACATAAACCAATCAGTCACCAGCATTTCATATTTTGACTTGGAGCCTTCTGGGAATAATCTTTCACTTTGCAAAATAAGTTCACAATGGTACATCATCAGGGAGTTTGATTGAAAAACTGGGCAATAATTTTCAGTCTCTGAAGAATTTAACCGATTAGAAAGATTCTCTTATTTACTCCATTACAATGACTTTTAAAAGATAGCTTATTTTGATCTATTTAAAAAATACTTATACAAAAATTATATGCAACAGCAGCTTTAATATAAAAAATAGTAAAATAAATTTGATAAAAATATGGGTATTAATATTTTTCTGAGACTGATAAAATTTCATATTCATTGAATGTCATGGCAACTGAACACACTTGGGGAAAAATAGGTCTCTATATTGATCAGAAATGTCATTCTTAAACTTTAACACAGACCAAACATTTTGTATACTCTAGGCAGTAGGAAGGCAGCCCCCATCATCAGGTAGCACACCAAAAATGTTTGGTTTCATAATATAGTTTGCGAGAACTACCTCTACAAAGTCTATTCGTGCTGATGCTCCTGACGCTGCCATTTCTGGTGCCCGAAAAGCTGCTGCCTCCACATCCTCTCTTGTAGGTGTCACTGTATAGTCTCAGGCGATTGAGCAAGGGGCACACTCTGGATCTTCAGATGCTAAGATGAGAAAAATCAATTTCAATGCCCAAAAGATGGAACTCCTAATGCAGAAGGTGTCTAAAATAATTACCAATGGATCTATGGTACAGGGAGGCAGAAAATTTACTTCTTTTAATGCAATACCATGGAAACAGGTTTTAAGGAAGATTTTTAAGATTTCTGTAAAATGGAAACAGAAAATTAAATTCACAGTGAAATTGGACCAGATGAACAAAAACCATGCATACTTCCTGAAAGGAGCAAGTGAAACTTTCATATGATGATCATCAAGTGATAAGCCATTCTCATGAAAATAACTTGCTTAAACTAACAATTGCAAGGTTATTTATGCTTGTTCAAAGGAACTCTACAATAACAAGCATCATTGATGAAGACTATTTTAACATGAGTTTCAATGTTCCTTTCTCTTTCTGAAAATGAGAAAATTTATGAACTTCTTGAATTCTACAATTTTTTTTTCTCAACTCTAGCAGCTCCCATCATATGTAGAATAATTCAGTTTAATCTCTACAATGTGCGGGAAAAAAGCACTTATATAAGGGGTCCTCAAAAAGTTTATGAGAAGATTTTATATTATCTTTTAATTCTATTTTTGCACAAACTTTTAGAAGGACCATTGTATGAGAAAACATCACCAAAAGACACCAAGGAGAGATATATATGTAAGCGGCCATACTGTAGAGGGGTACATTTCATTACATTAAAAGAATTTGATTGGAAGAATATTTTGGGTGTAAACAAATCATCATTCTTCCCATTTATTTTCTATGAAATACTTAAATAGCAACTTTTGCAGTGCATCTTTATATTTTCATAAAAACATGATTTGTATCTTTGTAAACAAATCATCATTCTTCCCATTTATTTTCTATGAAATACTTAAATAGCAACTTTTGCTGTGCATCTTTATATTTTCATAAAAACATGATTTGTATCTTGAAAAAAATTTTTAAAAATAATTGGCTTGAATGAAGATAAGTGTATATATTAGAACAAAATCATTTACAAAAATATTTACCACCTCTGGAAACACAACAGTAGCTCAAATTAATATACCATGGCTATTTGGAATTAAGTCAGTTAAGTAACAATTTTTATTTAAAAAATTGGCATATTTTTAATTTTGTTATTTTTATTTATACATATTTATGGGGTACACAGTTGACTATCAGTATTTGTGTACAGTGTGTGATGATCAAATCAATATGATTGGCATGTTCATCATTACAAATCGTAATTACTTTTTGTGTTTTATAACAGTCACTTTTACATCTTGTGCACCTGAATCCATTATACTTGATATACTGCAGAGTGACAAATGATTACAAATTATGACATTCTTTTTGAACATAATTTTTCAGCAGGAGCCATTCTGAATCAATTAATCATGCTATTACTCTACTTAAATTTTCTCTCCAGAAAAGCCGCCAATTGCATATTTCAATTAACGACATGCATTTTTTTTTTACAATTTTTGATGTACTACATTTTATTTAAATTAATTAAATGCTACAATTTTACTAACATATAATAATTTAAAAATTGAATATGCTTAAATAGCAAAACACAAAGCAAATTATGTTTTCTTCAAATTATATTTTCTCAGATAAATGCAATTATGTTTATGCATAATATTAAATGATGATTGACTACCTTAGCTGCATTAGAATTTTTTTTTGCTCCATCTAAAGAGACTATTATATTTTCAGTTAAAAAATGAAAATATAATATTTCATTACAGATTTTTGCATACAACTGAAATCAGTGCACATTAATCTTTTCACAAAGCAGGAAGTATAGTCTTCAAATCCATATGATTATTAATTACATTGGAAGAACTTGGCAAATGCTCTCAAAGTTAAACAATTCCATGTATATACAATGTGTACACTGGGAAGCACATAGAACTATTTGAACAAAAATTACCTATCTGCATGTTTATTTGACAGGCAGTACATAAATAGATTCTTTGTGAGGATATTTTGTCTCACAGATTTTGCTAGAAGTTCAGTTTTATATATTTGTTTTTGAATGTAATATTAAATAATCATTTAAAAGAGATGTTTATTTACATATTGATAGAGGTATTTCACATGATTATCTTAACTCTACCATGCATGTTTATTAAGTTCACATTCTTATTTTGGTGATATAAAGAAAATAACAGCATGTGCAAAATATTACAAAGAACATTATATTTTTATGTTTTAAATATCCAACTATATTTTATAAGTAAGAAGTGGATAATGCTACATAGCAGTAATTCAAGCTCAAGTTCAATTAATTGTGCATTTAATACATTTTCCAGGATAATTTTGAAAAATGCAACAGGATAGCTTCCAAGCTTGAAAAAATAAAATCTTAGTGTATTGTCTCAGATTTATCTGCCTTATCATTTGACCTTCTCAAAGGGCACATAGATTTTTCAAGAATGAAACAGTCTAACAGAACAGTAATATAGCAGTCAATATTCTCATCCCATTATTGAACGAGCCAAAATTCAACATCAGCTGAAAGCTTAAAGCATCACAGCATATAATTTGGCTTTGAGGATAGGGCACAGGTACAAATCATTTTCTCTAAACATCAAGGTGATCAATACCTAGATCTTTATAATGGCAAGCAACATTTTATTCTTTTAATATATTGTATAAATTTTCCCAATCTATGTGTCATTTGTAGTAAGAGATTATTAAAACTCAATGATTTAAGAACACACTTTTATTACAAAATGCAATCATCTGCCAGAGTAGTCTTTAGTTAACCGTTAAAAATCTTAAACCATATATATAGTATATAAAAGGTTGCCCAAGTGTGCTCAAGCTAAATCAACTTTTGAAATGTCTTTGCACTATTTTGTTGATATGCTAAGGTATTTCAAAGGAACTTAATAGAGAAATGGAAGAGGGTTTATCTACAGCCTCCAAGTCCTACAGAATAAGGAATGAATGCAGCAGAAGTGTAAAAGCGAGCGAGTGATAGAATCTCTCTGGAGAGTCCAAGAAACCTGTCACCTGCGTCTTTATTTTTTCCATAGAGTTTACTGTGCAAAGAGAAGAGGAAATTCTAGGCATAGGAAATTGCATGCGTAAATTTGTTAAAACTTTAAAGCAAATAACTTACTTGGGATGGTGAGATGTTCTTTCATGCAAGAACTTAATATGGAGGGGATTGTTGGGGGATGAAGGAGCTTGCCTTGTGTCCTTATATATTTATTTCTGTACCTCACTCTTTTTGCTCAACCTCAAAGAAAGTGTTTCTTCATCTATTCAAGTCAAACTCTTACTCATGCACTTGATTTCAGGCTCTATCAATCTCTTCTAGGAAGGATCTGGCTTCCTAAGTTTTCCTGTCTTTCTCTTTCCTCAATCTATTGTAATGAAGCTCAATATGAAATATAATACATGACATGCCTTACCTGGTGCTTAGCACACAAAAGCCCAAGGAATTGTAGTTAGGTATCAATGTCCTCAATTTTTTCTAATTCCAAATCCAGCTACCATTTCTCAGTCTTTATCTTTGGGATCTCTTTGCTCTCTTTCACTGTTGATTATTCCTTTCGTCAAAGCTGTCCACTCCCTTGGAGTCTATGGCAGGCCACTCTCCTGCTTTACCTCATACTTCATTGTCTCCTTCATGGGCTCATTCTCTACCTGTCACATAAATGTTGGTTTTTCTCTTCTAAGTTCATTGCTCTTGTCACTCAGTACATGAGGATCTGCTCCCATTGTTTCAAATAACATATATACTAATGAATCCCAAATCTATACTTCCAGCCGACTAATCTGTCTTTGAGCTCCAGATTCCTATATCTAACTATATTCTAGGTAACTCTAATTGGATAGTCAGAAATTGAATTTGTCACTTTTTTCAACAAGCTACTTAATTTGGAAAAAAAAAATTATATATATATATATATATATATATATATATTTAACCTTCATTGATGGTGTCAGCATCTGCTGGGTCATCCGAACTAGAAATCTGGAGAACTTGATTAGACTCCATCCTCTCATTTCTAACATCCAAGTAACCTTAAGCCTATTCCAATTTTATCCCCTAAATACTTCAGTAATTGGTCCCTTTCTCTCCATCTCTGTTAACACTGTTCTACAGAGTAAGCAGATTATTTTTGCCTGGATTATTACAATAAACTGTCAATTCATCTCTTCTTCCTCAAATTCATACTCCACATGATTACAAAAGGAAACTTAGCTATGTCACTCCCTGTTATGGGCTGAATTGTGTAGCTCCCAAATTTATATGTCGGAGTTTCAATTCCCACTACCCAGCACCTCAGAATGTGACTGTATTTGGAGACTAGGTCTTTAAAGAAGTATTTAAAATGAGATCACTAGGGTGGATACTAATCTAATATGACTGGTATCCTTATAAAAAGATGAGATTAGAATACAGATACAGAGAGGGAAGGTCATGTAAAGACACAAGGAGAAGACAGCTATCAACAATCCCAAGAGAGAGACCTCAGAAGAAACACTTTGATCTTGGACTTCTAGCTTCCAGAATTGTAAGAAAATAGATTTCTATTGTTTAAGACAACCAGTTTGTGGCACTTTGTTATGGCAGCCTTAACAAACGAATGCATTTATTTTATATAACAAATACATTTGTTATATATTTGTAATATATAAAGTATATTTGTTATATGTGACAAATTTGTTGTATGTTTGTTATATAATAAATGTATTTGTTATATATTTGTTGTATATTTGTTAAATATAAAATACATTTGTTATATATAATGAATATATTCATTTGTTAAGGCTGCCATAACAAAATGCCACAAACTGATGCTACATACTGGTTGACTTATATATTTATAAATATACCTTCGTATATTTCTTTGTAAATTTCTTCAATAGTTGCCCAGAGTACATGGGATAAAACCTTAATATGACAAGCCCCAGAGTGTGACCACACCTTTCTGTTTGGCTTCCCCTCTGACCACTCTCTGCCATGCTATGCTTCAACATCCT